GTGATATGTAAGGTCCTGGGTTTATTCTGTCGCCGACTTGGGGCTGGAGAGGCTGTTAAAAACATTGGCTGCTCTTGCAGAGATTCCCAGCATCCATATAGCAACTAACAACTGTCTATAACTCCAGTTCCAGGGGATCCGATGCCTTCTTCTGGCCTCCTCAAGCATTTCATGACACAGGGGTACTTACATACATGCAGGCAGTACATTCATACATAAATAGAGATGATAAATACAATATTTAAAAAAATGGCTATGAGATTTAATGGAGGTACTGTCTATTGACAATTTAAGTTAATACATACGTGTAGCCAGTAATCTGGAGTTCATATTTCCCCATTTCCCTAGAGTGGTGACAGAGGAGACTATTGATGGAAGACTTACCACCTGGGATAGCCACAAAAAAGGAGAAAGATTTCACCCTCCTTTCTCCTGCAGGTTTTCCCTCTTCAGGCAACTTATAACTCTATGGGGTTATAAAAGACTTCCTAAGAAGTCTTGATTACATCAAGCTTACTGTCAAGCCACATCTCACTTTGGACAGTTGGATCCTCTAGCACAGATCATAGACTGCACACATTTCCCTGTTAGATACCATCTCATTAGAGTTGTCTCTCTCTAGATTTTATATAGACAGTCTTTCACCTCTCTGTCTCATAAACATTTCTATCCTGAATAGAGCAGGGCAAGGAAGGGCAGGGGGACAGCCCCTTTGACACCCTGTAGGACATCCTTTACTCTGCCGAGGGCTCATTCATCAGCTTTCCTGGCTGGGCATTTGTGAGTCCACTTAGAAACCCTGAGCTTCAGATGAGGAGAGTGAGGCATGTAAAGGGCCTCACAACCCAGGATCTCAGTGGTCAGTGTTTGTCCCAGGCTCTGTGCTGCAGCCGGGTCTCACCCACAGGTATGTGCCAGCTCAAGGGAGGTGAGAAACCTTGCAAATGCTGCCTTGGTCAAAGACCTGGCAGGCTGAGGGCATCTGCCAATGGGAGTAAGGCTGTGTGACTGGGCCAGTGTAGGGTGACCCCAGGGACTCTGGAGGTCCTTAGTTGTTATAGGAACTAGAAAGGAGTCCATCTTTTTGACACAGTTTTTAAAAAATATTTTACTATTTTTATTTTATGTGTATGAGTGCATTGCCTGCATGTATGTGAGTGCACCCGTGTCGTGCAATGCCGTGGAAGTCAGAAGAAGGCTTCGGATTCCCCTGGAACTGGAGTAAAGGATGGTTCATAGCCGCCATGTGGGTGCTGGGAATTGAACCTGGGTCCTCTGCAAGAGCAGTCAGTGCTCTTAACCTCTGAGCCATCTCTCCAGGCCCGACACAGTTTTTTTAA